CACTTTGAAAAATTTTTTCAAAGTGCGTAATTTTTCAAAGTGCGTTGTAACATCGCATATTAATTTTTTTCTTTTACTTAATTCATTAATAAAAAATTACAGAAACTGAGATGGCGGTTGGATACAAATGCATAAAACGTATCAATTGAAACTATGCTCGTGGTATACCTATGTCAAAAAAGGTTTTTTTTGCTATTTACTTACTTATACAAAGACATTTCGTCTTTCCTTGTTCTAGGTTATGGATAACTGTGCGCGGATCCCGGCCTATACACCTATTGCAACTTTTGAGTTTGGTCAGTACAATCTGGACTCGTCTTCATTATCTGGTATCTTTGTCGAGTGCACTGACGATGGATTCAAGGTAAAAAAAATTTAATAATTCTATATTTTTTGTAAATATGTCAATTTTTTATAAAGATTTTAAAACAAACAAGAAAATACAAATATAAAAAAATGGAGTAAAAAACACAGGGTATTTGTAATATTATATTGATACTATACCACACTATCATATATTGTAATCCTTATAAAATAAGCTGATGAAATTTATGCAGAATTCAAGTTTCATAATCAATAATCCCTATGTGAGAAATTGCGAAGGTGTTTTGTAAAAAATAACATGAAATTTTTATAGTCTGTCATTTTTATACTACATTTTTATAATCATTTTAAGGTTGCCGCACAATTATGTGGACATGGACCTGAAATTTACACAATCCACAAAGGTGGCTCAACACTGCGACAGGATGCCAATAATTACTATGTCGTTAACATCTAAAAAAGATACTGCGAATTCTGTGATACAAATCTCTCTTGTATATATAACATCATCATCCATTTTATATTTATTTACAAACACTGCCAATTTACTATTTCACAAGTTCATCAGTGTTTTCTTTTATTTATTGCATGCTATATCTTGAAAATTGAAGAAGAAATATTCTTCTTACCCTCAGTCAGCCTTCTCAATTTGACAAATATGTAATATTAAGTTGTGACTTATATACAAATCAAGCAGTCCTGGTGATAGTTAATACATGCACATTACGTCACAGATACAAATCAACTCCTGATTGACACGCTAAATTCTTTGGTAAATCTTAATTTCATTTTTAGATTTAATAACAAGAAAAGACTTAGAATAAATAACTATCAAATGAAAGCAACATATTTCCGTGAAGTCCTAATCTATTTATATCCTGTTGATAAACTTGAGTAATGAGAAAGAAGTGACCTCTATAGAATAGTGTGAAGTTCTTAGACATAGATAAAAAATGAAAAGATACATCCTTTGTTCTTAAATCGAGTGGACCAGTTGTAATACCATGCATTTATATTTGCTGTGTTTTCATCTTAAGGTCCGTCACTTGTGAAATTAGTTTTATCAAGGTTTTTTGAGAAGTATTTTAGTTATACAATAAATTTAATCTAAATTTACGTAAATTTAATTTAATCTTATTTTACGTAAAAAAATTTGATTTACAATTAACATTGCAAATAAATAAGTTTAATAATTTGCCCATGGGCATATTTTTTCTATGCAGCTCTGGTGAGTTGTCTGCGTGACTTGTCTCTGCAATTTTAGCCACCAAAAACTCAAAACTTAAAATTATTTCCGAATAAAGCAAACTAATAATACTTGAAAAGGAACTTTCTTACATATTAAATAAATCGTTCATTAATGAAAATTATGATTCTTTTTTCCAGAAGGCAAAATGTCCGATAAAAAGTGTTATATGTTAACCAAACCATTGTTGGGTTTAAAAGCAAAAAAGAATTACCTAGTTATTTTACTGAAATTTACATGTAATTAAAATTTAAAAAAAATGCTAATTTTAAAGTTACTCTTACTGTTTAAGAGAAACTTCAAAATTTGCATTTTTCCCCCCAATAGTCGTATATAATATGAAATTATTATCTGGGAATTCTTAGTTCGTGTCAGTGGTCCTAGGTCATCTATGGATAGAAATAAATCTAATCTGCAAAACGAACATGACAAGGCCAGTGGACAGAATTGTGGGTGAAAATAAGGTCATGACTTTTTGATCACGACCTATTTTTTTTTATTCTATCACTAAAACTGATATAGTTCTTGAATCATTCCTCATTCTGTAGATAACAATGATTAAAGAGATGAAAAAAAAATCTTTGAAATGCTCTGCAGGTATATATATTTACATAACGGACAATAAAATATGGATATAAATACATAGATATGGTATATGATGCATCTACCAACTAATTTCTAGTATATAATCAAATATAACTTCAACTCAGTTCAATATGCGCAAGAGGTAATTTCTTGTCTTTTGTTTAAGATCTGGATATAAAAATGTGTTTCAATATTAACATAACGAAGAAAGTTTTTTTTTTAAATTTAGCCATCTATATTTCTTTTTTTCTCGCTTTCATCAAGTAGAAAAGCTTAAAATCGATTTGTCTCTCACGATTTTCTTCTTTATCTGATTAATATCATATACAAACACAATGAAAAAAAGGTTCATAATGGGCTTTAGATTTGATATAAAAATATTGCATTTGTTGATCCAGATCTTGTGTAAAAACAAATATTCCAGATCTTGTGTAAAAACAAAACTTAACCTTGTTCTGTTTATTCTGACATGTCAAAGAGTCGAAATACAACAATAACAGTGACAAGTTTTGAAAAGAAAAATGATTTACAGATTAATTCAAACACTATCAGATTAAGGTAGGATTCTTCTCTGGTTTCTGAGTAGATGAAATATTCAATGTAAATTTGCTTATATGTCTTATATATTTGGGTGAAAGAGATTTAAAAGACCATATTTTTCTTCCCTCATCACAATTGTACAACTTTAAATAGAAATGGTAAATTGTGTTCGAAAACTAGCAGGGACTATATTTTTGGCGGAATGGTGGCGTATGGAAATATCTTCTTTTTTGCCTCTCAAAATTATTATAGAACAAGGAATTTAGTTATAATTTTTACACAATCGAAGACTTGAAGAATTTTTCAAATGTTAGCTAAATTAATAATAAGGGACTAAAAATGTAAAATATATCAAATAAATATGATTTTCCAAACAGACTGCAATTATGTAAGCTTTTAAAAGCTTCCAATCTAAGAACAGATATGGGCCAAAAATCCTTAGAAAGTGTTTTTATTCTCTTATTAAACGGTCAAAACTTTTTTAGCTCACCTGAGCCGAAGGCTCAAGTGAGCTTTTCTGATCACATTTTGTCCGGCGTCCGTCTGTCCGTCTGGTCCGTCTGTCCGTAAACTTTTCACATTTTCGACTTCTTCTCAAGATCCGCTGGGCCAATTTCAACCAAACTTGCCACAAAGTATCCTTGGGTGAAGGGGATTCAAGTTTGTTCAAACTCAAGGGCCACGCCCTTTTTCAAGGGGAGATAATTATGAATTGGAGAAAAAGTAATGGCATTTTTAAAAATCTTCTTCTCAAGAACCACTGGGCCAGGAAAGATGGACTCATGTGGAATCATCCTCAGGTAGTGTAGATTCAAGTTTGTTCAAATCATGACCCCCGGGGCTAGGGTGGGGCCAAAATGGCCGACCCAAGTTTTACATAGGAATATATAGGAAAAAATCTTTAAAAATCTTCTTCTCAAGAACCACTGGGCCAGGAAAGATGAAACTCATGTGGAATCATCCTCAGATAGTGTCGATTCAAGTTTGTTCAAATCATGACCCCCGGGGCTAGGGTGGGGCCAAAATGGCCGACCCAAGTTTTACATAGGAATATATAGGAAAAACTTTAAAAATCTTCTCAAGAACCACTGGGCCAGAAAAGATGAAACTCATGTGGAATCATCCTCAGGTAGTGTAGATTCAAGTTTGTTCAAATCATGACCCCCGGGGCTAGGGTGGGGCCAAAATGGCCGACCCAAGTTTTACATAGGAACATATAGGAAAATCTTTAAAAATCTTCTTCTCAAGAACCACTGGGCCAGGAAAGATGAAACTCATGTGGAATCATCCTCAGGTAGTGTAGATTCAAGTTTGTTCAAATATGACCCCCTGGGCTAGGGTGGGGCCAAAATGGCCGACCCAAGTTTTACAAAGGGATATATAGGGAAACACTTTTAAAATCTTCTTTTCAAGTCTAGAAGGTCTGGTTGGTAACTGTCTGTGGATGGGCTGCACTGAGGACATGTAGATTCTAGTTTGTTGAAATGATGAACGCCTGGAGGAGGGAAGTAAACTCAAGCCTGATATGCTCAGGTGAGCGCTGTGGCCCCTGGGCCTCTTGTTTGATAAAGGTTTAGGTTGGTGAGGCTGGGGGCAGGGTAACTCAGGGAATAGAGGACAATGGATATAGGTAGGAATAATTGTAAAGTAGGAGAAAGACGTAGGAGGGGAGGGAGAAATAAATTTAAAAAAAAAAAAAGACATTTTGAAAAGAGAAAAAGGAAGAAATAGTTTTAATACTTGGAAATTATGTATGGAAGCCTTATTGTCCTCCTTTGCATTAAACAAAAAAAACACTTAACAAACAAGAAAAATTCAAATATAGGGCGCATATAAAAATAACTTAAATATCCTTAAAATTTAAGAAAAACAGAGAAAATTCGGATTAGCCAAAATCTATTTTTGTTAAACTATTTTTGTCAATTTGGTAATACTATCTTATAGACCTTATATGGTAATATCTTTTTATGCAAAAAGAAAAACATTTAATTTTGTGAAAATTGAAGACCCTATCGCATGATTGGATGCAGTCATTTTTATTCTTAATGTCAAGGGAAAAGGTAATGACCTTGACCTGACCTTGACTCTAATATAAAAAAATCAAAACTAATCTTGATTCTGTGAAAATTTCATTAATTTTATTAAATTTAAGGAATACAGTTTTGTGTGAGAAGAATCCTACCCTAACGCACAATAATTGAACGGTACAGAACGATAAAATAAATGCCTGCGAAAACAATCAAGGGATACACTTTAAAAATAAGAAAATTAGATTGGAAAGAAGAGATTGAAATACGAAGAATGTGCTCCATGTCATCACCACTGTCAAAAAGCCAGGCAATACCAACAATGCTGTGGCCTTCATTTTCAAAATCCCTTCGGTAGGTTTCGCCTTTCCTTCTGGCTTTTGATTTTTTTGACAATTATATCTTAAACTTGGAAGAAGACAACGAATTAAAACAAGCATTTTAACGGAAATAAAAAGCAAGCTCCAAGCGAAGCCTTTTTGACACAAAATGCCGTATTTATCATGTTATAATTTTATTATTCTAAAAAATAACGAATTTCCAAATTATGTAAATTTGTATATGTTACAGTCAATGAATTTGTCAAATTTGATATGACAAGTTTGTAGACTGTTTATTTAACAAAGTGTTTTTCTTCTTTATACTAAGATGTTAAATGAAACTATTCTTATTTTCAATACTGTAAGAAAATTTATTTTCAAGATTTGTGAAAGGTGTACATGTACTAATTAATATACATTTTTTTCCACTTTTTGTAGACTGTGTCATTAAAAGATATCAATCCAAAAGTGACTTCAAATAACCCCACCCGTACCAAAAGCACAATGCAGGAAATACAGAAATTAACGGTGGGTAGCATATGAAATACATATACTCTATAATGGTGAAATTTATGTTTCTATGTCATGTTTTGCACTTATCTTTAAAAAAATTCTTGTATCTATAATGAAATGTTGCATCTATAATTGTTTGCAAATGGTTTTAATTGCAGTTTCAATCTTATATACATTTGTCTTTAATGAAATGGAATTAAGTTTAAAAAATTTATAAGTGGAATTTAAAGGCATGAATTCAATATTTCATCGTTACAATCATTGGGTGCAAAATGCACCGACAAAATGAAAATTTTATGCTTTATCCTCTTCATGAAAATTACAGGAGGATTTGGTAATTGACATTGGTGTGAGGTATGTGTCAAAAGATCAGTCTGTCCCACCACAAGTCAAACTTAAGACTGTACAAGTCAACCTAGGGCTCCCCCTGGTGGCAGTGTTAAAGTTATGGAAACCAATTGAAAATGAGGCTACGGAACATGAAGACTTCAGTGATAAAAATGGCTATTCCTGAGACACGACTCTTAAAAGTTCAACATTTCATGGAGAAACTGCTTAGATATGCATCATAAGAAAAGAGCCACTACCTACTGCAGGGGTTTTGAATGGTGGTGCTGTTGGATTTCATTTTGTTTCTCAATATCATTATACATGTAATTGATAAATTTTGTCCACACTAATTTTGTCAGGGATCTGATTTTTGTTGTCCATGCAAACATGTAGTTTGTTTCTGTTTGTTTTAATAATACCAATTAATATAAAACGTTTTCAGATTCATGTTTTGGGATTTTGTTAAGTTTGACCATAGATGCATGTTACATATACCTATCTACATTAAGTATATGAGGGACACTGCCTGTTGACTTGTTACATGTATTACTTTAAAGTATTTTATATTTTTGGTGCAAACTTTTCTTTCATGTTAATATTTTGTTTTTATGTTTAATGCATGCTGTGTTTAATGTATGGATAAAAATATATTAATTTGTCTTTTATCAGAGTTTCTGTTTGTTTATTTGGTCTCACTTGTGCTTGTATATACATGCAGTGCATGTAAACAAGCAAATATTGATAATGAATTTTAACTACTTCAGTGAAAATTCATGATGATTATTAATTAAGATGCAGATTGTGAACAAAGATAACCTGTCAACCAGGTTCTTGTAACTTGAGGCCTGTTCAAAAGAGCGAACTTTCGTGAGCGCTCGCCAAAATTCCTTATACCTCCAACAGATATGTTTGCGAGCGTTTGCTCTGTTGAACAGGTCTCTGTACTTTAACATTTCCATTTAACTTTTACCTCCTCCTCCCACCCACCCCCCCTGTTAGTGAGCTTGGCCCAAACAAATGATGAGAGAATCAATGGGTTTCTGCTGAATAGATCTTTACTTTGTTGTTCTTGGTATTCTGTTACATGTATCACATAACTTATAATTTAAAACAAAACAGATTTTTTATACTGTATGGTCTCTACTTTAAATTTTATGTTTTTATCATCATTAATATGTTATCTGTTAAAGTATTGTTCTTATGACACTTATTATCATTTAAAAGAGTATCTGTATTTGGTGAAAGCAGTACATTTCATTTAGACATGTAACTCCTTCATTCTTTTGTTTATGAATTTTTAATTATGTATTTACATCTCAATGCAAATATTATTTCAAACAGAAATACCGGGTACCAATAGGAAATGAGCATTGATGAATTCTGTGCAATGTGTGTACATATTTGATGCTAAAGAGTCTTTAATTATATTTCTTTCGGGAATTAGGTTAATGTAATTTTTTTTTCAGTTGTATTATTATATATGTATTACCATATTGATTTTCCCGTAATTAAAAGCTACATGTATTCCTTACATGTACAGTACATCTTAACTTATACATAGGTGTATGTACTGATGTTTAATTAGGCCCAAGATCAGGTAGCAATTTTGTTAGGCTTTGAAATATTTAGCTGATTGAAATTTCTATGTTATTTCTTTTCCATGATCTGTGGACGAAATATTAAGAAATACATGTATATCTCTCATTGGATTGTTTTTTTTTTTTTAATTAAATATACATTCTTAGAATATCTTTGTTGTGATGAAATGTTGAATAAATTGATTATAGTAAATTTTAATATCAGACTGTTTTTCTCTTTGTTTTTAGTTACTTTTAGTATAAAAATAATTGTAATTTATTTGTATACTGTATGTCTTGTTGATAATATATAGTATACAAGAATGTTTATAGCAGTTCAGTCTCAAGCTATAACACTTGTTTAAAGAAATAAACTGTATGGTTACATATACATGTATTGTTATAAATTTTGTACATACAAATTTGTATAAATATTAATTCTTTGTCAGGAATTTTGTTCTTTTGTTTTCAATGTGACATGGTCTGAGTGTATTATATTGTACATTACTAAAATGAATTCTCTACTAGAAAATTTGATTATAAAAAATTTTTCACACTGAGAATCTTGTAAAGTTTGTCTGACCTTCTACCAGTTAATGATATTTTTTAAATTTCATATTGCTCCATAAGTGTTTTTTTTTTTTAATTTGATTTAAGTATTACTGTTGTAGACTACAGAAGGGCCATGCTGTAATTTTTATGCCTGGTGCCATACCAGGCATAAAAATTACAGCATGGCCATGAATATTGGTATTGTTATTAAAGAGAGAAATAAAATGAAATAATTCAAAACACTTCTATTTTTTGACTTGCTTATTATTAAAACTTCGTACAGTTGAATCTAGTAAATGATATATTCACTCTCAAAACAGGGCCTGCTGCAGGTCCAGCATTTTGCCTTAGAGGGAGAGAATTTTGGTATTGAAGAATCTTAGTACCACCAAAGTCCCTGGAAAAAAATTTTAGATTCTCCTTTTTAGAGGTTGTCTCCTTTGATTTTTAGATCATTAAGACGGGCATGATTTGGAATTCATCAATAAAAAAGTAATTTAATTTCAAACTTGACTTTTAGGCTTATTTACACTAATTTGTTTACCCAGCACAATTCCCACAGCTATAAAAGAATATTTGTTGAAAAGCTTTGGAAATCATTATGGTCATACAAATTACTAGGGATGTCAAAATATTAATTTTCCTTAGTCGAACATTCGATTGCATTATTCGAACGATAGTCGACTATTCGGAGCAATTTTTTATAGCATGGTTTTTTGAAAGCTTTTTAATTAATATAAATTGAAAAATTGAAATTGGGAATGGGGAATCGTAAACACACACTATTCACACGTCCGATGATATTGTTAAATACTGTATGTTCAATTAATGATTGCGCAAGCTTTTTAATTGCCTTTTATGTACGATTATTGTTTTAATAGTTATCCAAGTTTAAAAACTTCACAAATATGCAAATATTATGTGCTCCTAGCATTTGAAATTCCTAGAGGTAATAAATATAATTGATACAAGTCAATTATAAAAATTTCATAGTCGAGTATAGCGTTGCATAATTTACTTCAATAACAAAAAAGTAAGTGATTGAGAAATAATTATCGCGGTATGTAATGACTGTATTTTCCATATATACAATGTGGAAAATTATTTATATACTGTGACTGTGTTTGAGCTCTTGTTCATCTGAGGACGTAGACTATATATTTAGTATAAGGAAGGACGCTTTTTCAAATTTGTGATGAGAATTTCATTATCACCTCCTTTTCTTGCATTTCTTTAATAGTCGAATGTCCTATCATTATTCGATCGTCGGTCCATTCGACTGATAGTCGAATAGTCGACTATTCATTAGTATGAAAAAAGTCAGTCAGCTTTTGACTTAATGATAGATTGTGTTTGCTGACGAAGAAGTTGTATTTCCCAAAGAAATTTCAAAATATTGACTTGTTTGTAATGAGACTGATGATACTCTATTTCAGCAACTTGTTTGTCAAAACTTACCTTGTTTTATGGATTGTTCATACTTAGAACATGTCATTGCGTATCGAATCAACTGAGAGATATAAACCCCACATACGGGCAATAAGAGTATATTGCTACACAAACTCGTATATAAGGAAAGTGGTTGTCGATTGAAAAGTCAACACGTTTACATGTATCATATAGCTTTGTTGTTAGATTACTATTGACATCTTTTTTTGTAACATAATCAAATATAAAACAGATATGTCAGACGCTGTATGTAAATATCTTTTATTTCAAACTCCCCGAGATATATCGTGTCTATCATTATGTTGAACTTTTTCATTATATTCACCCTGCATTGTCTGCGATGTTCTCCGTTTGCCCAATCAGTGTAATCTGTCGACTCCTTCATGACATCCAACCTTTGATGCTTTAAGAGTCCGTGTTTGGTCTGCTTCCGATTATAATTGTATTAATGGACTTATAAGTTTGATATATGTAAATGTCTCTTATCTTCATGTTTATTGAAAGACTTGGCACTTCAGAAAACCATATATGTGGATTATCAGTGATTTACGCAGGCACCGACCAAAATTAGTAACTAGATATTAAAAATCTTATCTGGGAATTCTTTGTTCGTGTCACTGGTCCTCGGTCATCTATGGATAAAAATAAATCTAATTTGCAAAACATAATGACAAGGCCATTGGACTGAATTATGATTGATTGATTGAATATTGTTTAACGCAGAGTCTGCAATTTTTCAGCCATGTTTCGCTGGACCATTAGTTTAAATCGGTTTTTGAAAATTTTTGGTTTCTCTGGCGGCCCCAAGTGAGCCTACTCTTTTTCGAACTCCAGAGAAACGATATTTTACGTGCCAAGGGGGTTGTTATCCTTGACACGGGGCACCATTTAACGTCCCGTCCGACGGACTTAAGTATTTATTTTAAAATATGTAAACTGCTGAATCATGAGAGAAAAAAGATCATTACTTTTTGATCACGACATAATTTTTTTTTATTCTAACACTAAAACTTACATACTTCTTGAATTATTTCGCATTCTTAAGATTATAATGATTGACGAGATGAGACAAAAATGTTTGAAATGTTCTGCAGATACTTTTCTTTATATAACGGACTTAAGTATATTATGCATCAACCAACTACTTTCTAGAAATCTAATACAAGTTCAATTCAGTTCAATATGTGCAAAAGTTTAATTTGTTGTCTTTTTCTAGATCTGGGTATAAAAATAAGTGTTTCAATAATAACATACATTCGCAGATCTAGATGGGGGGGGGGGGGTCATATAAAATCATATAAGATAATTAAGAGCTAAAATCGGCCTTTCGATGCTGAAACCATTGTTTAAAAAGGATGACTTAAAGATCTATAAAAGAAAAAGTTGGTGTGGCATTCCACCTTAAATTGTTATGAAAAGTCAAAGGTTTGAAGCATTAGAAGCCAACCCCCCCCCCCCCCCCCGGAAACCCGCCAATTTGCCGTTGGGGGCTTTTTTTTTTTTTTTTTTTTTTTTTTTTTTTTTGCTTGTCAAGAAATTTCTGGGTTCTTGATTTTTTTTTGGGACTGGGGTGGACCCCCCCCCCCTCTGGAAAAAAATTTCTGGATCCGCGCCTGACATAAAAAAGTGTTGTTTTTTTCACGATTTTCTTCCTTTACTGATTTAAATCATTGATTCAATACAGTGAAAAGTTCAAAATAAGCTTTGGATTTGATATGAAAATACTGCTCTTATTTCAGATCTTGTGGGAAAACAAACTTAACCTTGATCTGTTTATGCATGTCAATGAGTCGAAATACCACAACAATAACGACAAGTTTTGAAAGGAAAAATGATTTTCAGATTAATGCACACATACTATCCGAACATTTCCAAATAAATCAACGCAAATTAACTGCATCGCAAAGAACAACAAAATAAATGCCAATGAAAACAATTAAGGGATAAACTTTAAAAGGTAAGAAAATTGGATTGGAAAGAAGAGGATGAAATAACTATGTGGATACGGAAGAGTAACCAAGCTCAGAAGTTCATTAAAACAATACCAATCGAGAGCGGAGCAAACATAAGCTACCAAAAACAGCAGAAGTATGGGTACCATATGCATGAACGTACCCATCGTGTGTTCCATGTCATGAACAAGCAAATGAAATAATCTACACACAACTTAGTTTAAAAGCTAGAGGTACTGTGAGCAATGAGCTCACTAAATGAAACCCCCCACCTCCCATATGATTATAATGGAAAAGTCCATGTTTTGCTGTGGCTGAGAAACCCAAAATATGTGTCGGATCAAAAAGTAAAATAGGAGGTGCACAATGGCAATATGTAATAAAGATTCTGTGAAAGTTGCATTAATTTTCACTCAGTGGTATAAGAGGAGTTGCGGAAAAGAGATGGGTACCCCAAAGCGTAACATACAGACGGACGGACATACCGATTACAGTATAACCTCCCACTTTTCATATAGTATAATAATGGTTTGACAAATTCTATGAAAAAGCCAGTCAGCATTCAACAACAAAAGATTGTGTTTGCTTGCAATGCTTATGTATCAACCAAAGAATTGGCAGATTGTTGACTTTAAATCAGACTCTTGATACCCTCATATTATCAGCATATTTGTCAATAGATTGTTTCGTTTTACAGATTGTTCATACACAGAGCATGCTCTTAGGTATCGAATCAATTTCATATGCGGGAGAAGGTATATTAGTATATATTAGGTAAGATGCACTTAGAAAAGTTAATCGTCATATTCATCATAAAGTTGTTAGGTTACCACGACTGTCTTTATCTAATAAAATATCCGAATTAATCAGATATAGGAGACTGTATTATAGACTGTATTGAGTTCAAAAGGGTATATAGAATCAACTAATGTGTGAAAATGAATGCTGTTATTTCTTAAAACATCGTCAAATATATAAACACAAAACAGAGGTTTCTTCTTTTCCATTAAATAAAATAAAATACATTATGTTTTATATGACCATTAATTAGGTATGGCTTCTACCAAAACGCATTTAGCACCCATAAGAATTGTTTAAAGACTTAGTCTTAAGTTTGATGAGATTGATTTTGGAAAATTTTTGTGATTTCAAATGATCCAAAATTTCCTTTGAGTTTTAAGTATCTACGTCTTATTTTAAAATGCAATTCCATCTAATAACAAAGGCAAATGCCCTTGATGAAACATGTAACAACAAAAAATATATCATATTCTTATTATAAGCCCCTGATCCTGATGAAATCTACCGATTTTTTCAAACGTGTTGCTCTTATTTAGCCATTACAACACAAGAATTGCTTGGTTTCCCTCTCCCTACCGACTAAAATTGGCCCAATTCCAAATATTAATTTTATTACAGAAAATATTTTTTTTCCTTTTATTTCCCCTTACACCGTCAACAAATATGTTGAAAGTTTCTAGAAAAAAGATTTTCCCACCTACCTACCAACCAGTAATTTTACCCTGAGTCGGCAGAGGGCATCGAAACATTTTAAAGATGGTCCTGTATATGATGTCCGCTCTATAGTACTAATAATTTCTAGATCGTGCAAGAGGCAGAGTCATGCTTTAGGCATGCCGACATTGTGGGAAGTGTGGCAATAGGCAGGCAAGGAATAAAACCATCGATAAGGTGGGATACATCGTCGGTAGTGGAGAAGAGGCTACTGGTGCAGAAAGAAGTGCACAAAATGGAACAGCACACAAGAATGGTGCAGTAAAGGGTATGAAGAAGCAGGAAAATTGCATGGTTAAACTGGGAAGGAGCCCGACAGAAAGAGTTATCTT